CGCCTGCCGGCCAAGGGAGGGGGCCGGTGGGGGAGCGCGCCGAGGTGGCTCCCACCGCCGCTTCACCTTATTGCAGTAGGGACAATAGCTCTTGCTGAAAATCATGACGCGGTGGGAGGCGATGAGGGTCCGCACGCGGAGCTTCAGGCCGTCCCAGTCCGGGAGCTGGGTCTGGCCGGGCGGCGGCATGGCGGGACCGGCGGCTCGGGCGGGGAGCGCACAGTGCGCGCCCTCCTCACCCTCAGCCCCACCGCGCCCCTTCCGGAGCGGCGAAGGTGACGAGCCGGACCGACTTATCCGAAGGAAGGGGGAGGATCAAAATGCCAAGCAGCGCTCGCCTCTCTGTCTTTCATCCACACGCAGTATGACTCATTGTAAAATAGTAAAACAAACTTTACTTCAGAGGTATAAGCGTTGCAGTTTACCTAAAGGTGATGTGAGAAGGATAAACTCGCAATTTTTTAATCCACCCCTCCCCTCACAGAGGCAGTGAAATAACCCAAGAGGCGGGAGACCAGAGAGCGCATGCGTGGGGGCGAAAATGCCGCGCTGCCCAGGGGGCGGGAGGCCAGCGCCGGCATTTGGTGGTGCTGGGGTGGTCGGTCTCGTGGCTGCCCGCAGTGCCCGCTCGTCCCGCGGCGCCTCCAAAGGCCGGGGAGAGCAAATACGTGCGGGGGGAGCGGCTGGAAGGGACAGACGGGAGCTGGGGCTGGCTCAGGGCTCGTTGGCCTTTTCCCCGCCTCACGTTCTCATTTCACGGACCGTCCGGTCACGAGATGGCGGCGATCGCACGGTGTCCCGTCGTGGAACAAACACTGCAGCGGGGGCCGGGGGCACCGGTTTTGTGCCCCCTCGGTGTCCTGTAGGTGAGGGCAAAGTCTGGGGAGGAAAGCTGCCTTCTGCAGGGGGAGAACAGCTTCCCCCCGTCTGCCTCCACTTGCTGCTTGGGTCTCATGTAGGAGGAGGAGAATAGGGGTGCAGGTAGAGCTTCTCCTATAATAAAATGGGTTATGGCTTGAGAACACGTTAGCCAAGAGAGCAGGAAGAAGCTTCGTTTTTCTTATGCATTACAGGCTTAAAGGAAGGGGATGCTGAAGCACCTGGTACTGCTTAACGTTACACACGTGTCTGATTAGGTTGATTATTCTTTTCCCAAGAATCATAGTAATTGTGAGAACTGTAATGTGGAAGGGGACGTTGTCCTGGCCTGAACAGTGGGAAGAGCCTATATCAGGGCATAGAGCAGGAGGAATCCTGTCTGGTTATTCCCCTGCTTTGGGTGGGTTTTGACTGGGGAATGGCAGACTGCATGCCAAGGTCCTAAGAACCTGGTCATCTCCCTGCAGAGCAAGCCAGAGTTCACCAATTGCAGCAACAGCTTTCTGTGAACAATTATAATGAGTGGCCCTGGTTTAACATGTAAGAACGTCACTGATGTTACTAAATCAAACCCTGCAAGCTTCTGAGTGACAGGAATTATTTTCCATATGTGAGGAAAACACAGAGACAGAACGATTTATTAAAGTTCACTAGGAAGTTTGTAACAAAGCAGGATATACAGTCCAGTGCTCCCTCCCACGCCTGCCCACTGCTATTTACTAATACTAAAAATAATCACATATAAAAGCTGTAATAGACCTAGTGGGAGACAACTGAATTAACTTGCTTAATTCCTTATTGATCACGTGTGTCTGTGGTGTTCACTGCCCAGTGAGCTTGAAAAAATGTATATTACATTTATTTGAATGTTGGCGATGAAAGAGTTCTAGACTAAGTGTTTCTACACTCCCCGCACAGAAAAACAAATCTAAGTTTTGCAGCCTCTTATTTCAGTATCAGCGTGTAGGAAAGCAGGTAACAATACTTGCAGCTACTACGGCCTGATATAACATGCAGGGGCCAGAACTATCCACTGTACTTTGTTCATAGTCAAGCCAAAACTGCTTGTTTGGTTCCTAGCTTTGGCTGATTGTTCTCCCTCCTTCTCAGACTCCTTTTACCTGATGACAAATATCGTTACCCTTACTATTCTGGTGGGAATTAATATCACAACCTCAAGGGTTTATGTCACTGTCTGAAAGTTGGTGGGTTTTGAGTTCTCATCGGCTCCAGAATGGTCAGAGAATGTAGTAAATATTCAAAATATCTTTTTCTGTTGAAATGCTAAACACTGATGGCAGTGTGCCAAGTCCTATGAGAAATAAATGTGCAAAGCAAATTATGTCACTTGAGGGTTTTTTTTCTGTTCTGTGCTTTCTCTGCTGCTGTTTATTATTATCACTGTTACCTCAGAGCAAGAATGGGGTAATGGTTTTAAATGAAAAGAGGGCAGATTCAGACTAGATATAAGAAAGAAATTTTTTATGATGAGGGTGGCGAAACACTGGCACAGGCTGCCCAGAGAGATGGTAGAAGCTGCATTGCTGGAAATATTCAAGATCAGGTTGGACGGGGCTTTGAGCAATCTGATCTAGCTGAAGATGTCCCTGCTCACTGCGGGGTAGGGGGTGGACTAGATGGCCTTTAAAGGTCCCTTCCAACCCAAACCATTCTGTGGTTCTATGACGAATGGATGAGGAGGACAATGTCAACTCAGAACACAAATGGGTAATCTGGAAGCACTATAATGGCAGTGTCTTGCTTAGCTTTGCTTTCCTCGAAGCTGGAGTGGAGGAGAGAGCAGGGAGTTAAGGTCTTGCTGTGTTGGCGGTTGCTGTCGATGGTTGAGACAAAAGGCAAGGGCTGAACTCTGGAGAAAAAAGAGGGAAGACGACTGCTCAGTTCTAGAGAGGAAGGGACTGCCACTTTAGTATCCTGCCCATGCACCTCAATAGCTTATAGTAGCTCTGACTATTATTAACAATTTAGGCCTGAATCTGTATTCCGTTCTGTGAGATTTTTTTCTCCCTCAGGATACCAGATCATATTCAGCTCTCAAGATCTTATTCTTTAGATGTGCTGGGGATAGATTCTAAGGTGTTGAGTAGAGCTCTTTGGGCAACCATTCGACTTACTAGTAGACTATGTCGAAGTATTTGAAACAGCGGAAGTGTAGCAAACATTTCTGAATTAAGTGGTCTGCAAGAAGAGATTTTGAGGAAGGGTGAGTGGCTTGTGGAAAGAACCAGGAAACTGTTATAAACATAGAAGTATGAAAGACTTATTTAATAAAGGTTTAAGCATGCTTGAACTGTGACTCCCTGCAGGCCAGTCAGCAGCTATAGAAAGAGCTCATAGGATGATAGTAAGCTTCCCTACCTTCCACATGAAAGGTTTTGGTCTGCTTTCACTAATAAAAACAGACAGAATAAAAGGAACTGGTCTCATTAAGACAGTCCTCTCCTATGCATTACTCATCTTAGTTTGAGGATTAGTAAAAACCAAACCACATAAAATAGTTCTTAATAATGTAGCATAATGTGCCATGTGAAGACATTGAGGTAGAAACTGGTAGGGGAGGTTTATGAATTAGAATAGAATAGAATAGAATAGAACATAATAGAACATGCATCATTTCCACAGCTCTTGCACAGGACTAGAGGGCTCTTAGCATCACAAAGGTCTGATCCCATCGTTAAAAGTGTAAAGCTGCACACCATTCTCAAAAACAGACAGTCTCTGCCGTGAAAAAGGCTCCAAAAGACAAATTGATGCAGACGGCAAATGTTGGAAGCATTTCTAAATTAAGTTGTTTTCAGGAAGATGCTTGGAGGAAGGAGCAAATTGTTGGTAGAAAAGAATGAGGGAACTGTTTTAAACATAATGATGTCAAAGTCTTTAGCCATCCTTCTGGCTAAAATCAAATTCATGTGTCACCTGGGCTTGCTCCCATTCCTCAGGTACATTCAAATAGCTATGAGCCTTGATTCTGTTGAAGGGAGTCAATTTTACAGTGAAGAACAGCCAGAGTTCTCTCCCAGCCACATCCCTTGTGCCCTGACTCAGTCCTCATGTCACAGCACAGGAAAGGAAAGAGCATGACCTACCTCCATCTTTATATTCCATGGCAGATACCACCATGAAGTGGTATTCCCTAAGGTTGCTGCCTCTTTTATGTATGCAGAATGCTGTTACACAGCTAAGAAAGAGTAAAGAAAGTGTCTTAAAGATCAAGAAGATTACAAAAATCCTAAAATGTGGCCTTAATCTTTCTCACATTATTCCTGTGCCTTCCCTGACCTTCTGGGAACCTACCCTGTCTGCACCAGAAGAATAAGGGTGGTGCATTTTCGATCTGCATTTCCTGTTTTGGAGAAGGTGCTCCAGATCTCTGCAAAGCCACAATCATTTCATGGGTAGAAGGAAGAAAAGAGAGGCCGGTTATTTTTTCAGAAAAAATAACAACTGGCTGTCCTTGAATTACTGTAGAAATTGGTCATAATCCAGGAGACAGCCAAGTCCTTACCCATGAGCATGGTTACATCCTTTGTTAACCCTAACAATGGAGAGTTAACGGAAACTGAGCCATGATGGAGGCAGTTGAAAACCTAATTTGATAGCCTGTCATTTGGGTGACATGCAGATGGCCTGCAGCTCAGTTTATGGATTAGTGTTCATGGCAAATGATGTCAAAAGCCTTCTGGCACATCCACAAATTTTGGCACCATTAAGTACATTACCATCAGCTCGTTGGAGTGCTGATGGTGCACATAACGCAGAGTGTATAATAACCCTGTGCTCCAATTCTAAGGCTGGGGGGGAGTCTTTC